AATTAATTGGTATAGGCTATGCAGACAACGCTCTTGTTCCCCTACCCGGAGATTCTGCTTGAATCGCTCACCCTCTATTGTTGCGGACCTTTTCCTGCCTTTATGTTTACGTGTTACTCCTACGCGCCGACTAATCCAGCCTCGCCAGATTGACCACTTGTTTTCCAGTTTTACTCGGTTATTCCACGTTACAAACTTTGGTTCGGCTGACTTAACGTCTTGTTTACATCACCTGGCAATCCTCATGGGCTCTCCCACTCTTTATCAGTAAACCTTGCTCATACCGACCCTAACCTTTTCTTATCTCGCTTTCTGTTTTCATTCCCCTTTTTTAATCGAACGGCCAGTTTTACTGCCTTACCGTGATTTAGCCGCACTTGACCTGTCAATTTCTCTAACTACTCTTTTGTTACTGAGACTTCAGCGGCACAGTCTTTGCAGACTCAGCTATACGTTTTCCTTTCCTCTAGGGCCTGCTAGATTTTTTCACTTTATATTTTTTAGCCTTTTTCTTGCCTTCATTGTAAATCCCAATCCCAACGCGCTGACCACTCGAACCTCGCTTGATCGGCCCCCTGCACTCCGAATTCACTCAAAGTTATGAGACGTTACCTTTCCTAGTTCGGCTGTTCTAATTGACTGCTTAGTCCCTCGAAAGCCTCGTCGAACTTTTTACTCTTTCGATTAAAGCCTTTCTCAATCCTACTCTGTCCTTTCCTTACCTTGGTCTCTGATTGCTTTTCAAATGGATGGCCATCTCCGTGCTTTGCCTTAATCTATTCTTTATTGACCGTATTTCTGACTTCATCCATACTACTGAGACGTATATAATCTGTGCCGCATACCCAAAGCATTGCTTCCCCGAGAACTTTGCTGAACTTGCTCATGCTTTATTATCACTGCTTATTTCATTCCTAACCTTGATCCTCACCACTCGTTTTCACTACTTAATTAAACGACTTAGTCGCAATTCACCGACTAATCCAAACCCTTCGGATCGGCCGCTCGCTCCCCGATATCGCGCAGCTCTCTGATGCGTCATTGTTCATGCTACGACTAATATAAATTTCTATGGAACACATGTACATGAGATATTTAGTTTATAATGATACATATAATGTGAGGTTCATTAGTGAAAGCACTTTTGCGACTGCTCTTTATCTTTGCGTTCCGGATGCATCGTTGTTGCCTGTATGTGTGGCTGTCTTTGTTCGTTGTCTTTTTTCCGAGATTTCTACAGAAACGGTGGCCAGAACCCGAAGATACGTCCACTCTCTTGACCTCAACACTTCAACGAGGCGCCATATTCCCTTATCTCCAAATGGATGGATAATCTTTACGCTGCCGTGGTACTTACCGGATGGACAAAACACTCGTCTGTTATCTTGGATGGATGCCACTATATTAAGGCCTGAACAATTGGGTTCAGCTTGCCTCTTCTTCACATAACTCTTATTCGGAGTTGCTGATATTTAGTGTCATCTCGGTCATTTTATCTAACTGGAGAGCAGATTTTCCTGCATGTACTATGCACGTAATTTGGAAATATCCCAACACAATTCTTTCACACACAATACTCTCACTATGGCAAGAGCAAATGGGTTCGGCCCTTTACACTACTGAACTTCTTTTCACTTACCACATCTGGAGCTGTCCGCATTACTTTTACCGTCCATATGTTCGTGGATGCCAATGTCCCCAAGCAAGTGAACTTACTCTGGGAGGATTTCCGGTTCATTATTCAGGACAACTTGCAGCTTTCTTGGGCCTGAACGGTTGCGTTTGGCCATTCTCCTCTAATATTTGGTTCAACAACATATTACTGGATACCCATTACAGACATTACGCGGTTCTACCGACGACAAATACAAAACATGCCAGCATGTTCGATTTATAGATTACCTACCGTACAAGCCTTGCCATTTCGTCAGGAAGTGACAGGACTCATGGATGATACAGTCCCTCCCATCATGCATCAGCCAGCGAAAATTATGGGTTTATCCTGACTGCGACTAACAGAACCAATAATCGGGCAATGAGAAGCATTGCCAATTGCAGCTTGTCGTTCGAATGCGTTGATGGCAGTGTTCCAGGACGTGGTGGGTTTTCGCCTGGCAAGCGTTCTCCCTATAAAAATCCACAAATGTCCGTTTAACAACACTGCGAAGTGGTGGAGGTGACTCGCCACTGAATAAAGTCACTGCCAATAAGCTCACACTGGCAAGCTGACCATGACTATATACTGCCATGATTGATACACCCCGACACTTTCTTATCTGTATATTTCCTCGCCACGTCTTTTTCTGCGCATTCACCATCGTTTTTTACGCTACACGCACATGAACCCAGCGTACCGTGTAATCGCGATTGAGCGTGTTCTTCACCAGCTCTTTTCTAATTGATCAGTCGTAGTTCTGGATCTATTCATGCCTGAATTGTTACTGCACTTTATGGTAGAGCGAATGTACCCACACGAAAGTGCCCGAACTCATGGCAATGGGCTTGCTTCCTTTTTATTTCTGTCCTATTTGTACAGTTTCAAATAGGAACGTATGAACAACCTCCGATTGTCACTGTTACAATTGCCATGACATGTCTGTGTAATTGCACTTATTTAATCAGGCCCTCGCGGGCATGCCTCGCACAGCCGAGAATAGCTATTTATTTATTTATTTATAACAGCAGGCGGCAACCAGCACGTTTGCGTTCTGCGTGGGTACGATGGCAAAGGGACCGATCATTTTGCTGGTAATTTTTGCTCAACCTTCCGTGGGACACTCAATGGGATGAATTGAATTTTTCAATGGCTTCGCACACTTGTCGAATTCTCGACAAGCATTGCATCCTCAAACTTTAGCCACGGCAACGGAATTTCTCCTTGGATCCATGTTGCAGTCGCGTATTGGGCCTTCGTACACGTAATGCAGCGATGACTCACCTGCATGCCTTAGATCACCGCTGGGATAAGAAACAGAGGAAACACGAGCACCTCGCTCTTGTAGGGCGATTGGTTATTTTGAAAAGCTTATAGCAAAAGGTCCGGCAGCGCAGTAACTCGGGGTCTATTTTAGTGTGGTTAGACCACCCCTTGAACATATTTACCAAAAGATTTAGTAGTATGAAGTCACGTCGAAATTTTTCTTGTCTGGTCGAGTGTTCCAACAAACGGTGTTCTTGTTGAGAAAGAAAAATCGTATTAAGCTGGCTAGCCAAACAGCCTCCTCGTGGTGCCAGCTGGGTGGTTCGGGTAAATCCCGTTCCAGCAAATGGTTCGGCGGCAGTGTTCCAGGATGTGGTGGGATTTCACCTGGCAAGCGTTCTCCCTATAGAAAGCCACAAGTATCCGTTTAACAACACTGTGACGTGGCGGATGTGACTCTCCACTAAATAAAGTCACTGCCTCTTCCCTTTCCCGGAGGACCATTCACATATCACTAACGGCAGCTGATTCAAAGCATTCCATTGATTACCCCTTTGATGGCGAACACAACGAACGAAAGCACACACAATCACATTTACCTACTCACACAACATGTTCCATACCAAACACACAGTTAAACATAGTTTTACATCTCAACACACACATAAATTCCTATGCTATGGGTCAAAATGTACTAATTTGTGCAATTGCTGACCATACATGTCTGTAATACCATGATCACGCCCGTGATGGCGTGCCTAGCAGTGACGAGAATAAACCATTTATTTCTTCATTTATTTATGTGGTCGTTCCTTCTTGGCTTAAAAGTACGACTAAACACTGCGGCTGCAGTCTTGTTAAAAGCACGCGAAATGAATAAATAAATAAACAAATGGGCAGGTTAAGTCCCGCATCAGCAAGACCCTTGCAGCTTCCTGAAGACTCACCAACTCTTGGAGATGGCCTTATAGTAGCCTGGCTGAAATTGTAAGTGGACAACTCTGCGGTTAGGCCGGTCTTACTGGATGGATAAGAGATCTGGCCAGTTCCCAACTCGGACCTAAATGCTTTCCCATGTTTGACCACCGGTGCTTGCGGAGTAGTGCTGTGGTTGCAACATCGTGTGATCAATGCTTAGGTCCGCAAGTTGTTTTGCCAAAAGCCTTATTGCTCCACACTGCAACTTGTACCGTCCCCTATTCACTAACGTCGCCTAAGCAATTTTAGCAAGCTGCCTATTAATGGACTTCGCGGCAGGCATTATACTCCGTGACTTCTCCAATTTGGTGAAAGCGCGGAGTGGGCAGTCCATGACGTGGCATGGGGGAATAAAGAAATTAGCTATGAGACTAGCAGGCTGATGCCTGCGGGATCGTATCAGACGTGGTGCAGAGGATGGCGTTCCTGAGTTCCATTTCTGGCTTTCTGGTGGCTTTCTGGTTCCATTCTGATTAATTTAATGCTTAAATTAAATTGAATTAAATTAAATTCGTTATCGCTGCCTATGCACCGGCAAACTGTAGCGAAGACTCGGTAAAAGACGACTTCTACCGCCAACTGAACGAACTCCTTCGCCACAGAAGAAGCTCGGACGCTGTAATGCTGGCCGGGGATCTGAACGCTCAAGTTGGAAAGATTATCCACAGATGAGCTGCATCTGGGCGGCCAACATAGTATAGGCTCCCGTAATGATAACGGTGAGCGGTTACTTCATTTGTGTGGATATGCTCGCTTATTACTTGCGAGCACTAACTTCCGACACAGCACCCGTCGGAGGGTGAGTTGACGCCCACCCGCCTCGGACCAACCTTGGACGCAAATCGATCACATTTCGATAAGTTACCGATGGAGAGTCTGCATCCAGAAGTGCCGCTTGATTTGGAGCACATGTGTAGACACCGATCATGCACTTGTATGTGCTGACCTGCGGACGCGCTTTGGCGGACGCCCGCGACGATGTTGTGAGCGCATTGACACAGACAGACTGGTGAATACAGCTGTTCGGAAAGCCTATCAAATTACGCTGCCATCCGCGTTGGATAAACGCTCACTGGATGCAATTGAAGCTCACTGGTCTCATATGCAACAGGCCTTACTTGCAGCAGGCAAATCCTCATGTGGTATGTCTAATCGTCAACATGAACATTGGGTCTCTTCACAGTCTCTGGAACTTATAGATGCTCGTCGGCATATTACGACTGGAAGCGAACACAATGAAACTCGCAAAGAGCTCCGGGCAAAACTCTGTGCTAGCCTGAAGAAAGGCCGCGAATCCTGGTGGTCTCGTCGTGCAACAGAGATGGAAATGGCCGCTGCCCTTGGTAATCATCGTGAGTTATTCCGTCTTATACGGGAAACGGGCAGCAGGAGACCTGGTGTTAGTGAAACTATACGTGACGAGAGTGGACAGCCTATCCACAACTTATCAAAACGCCTGGAACGTTGGGCTGAGCACTTTGAAAGGCAATTTAATCGGTCGGAATTGTTAGATTTCTCGCCGACCAGTGATCGTCCTGCTCCGTGGGTTGTTCATTTGGATCCACCCTCTCGCTCAGAAGTCGAACATGAGATCAAACTGTTGAAGTTAAATAAAGCCGCGGGACCTGATGACCTTCCTCCAGCCCTCTTCAAATTCGGCAAACCTGCTCTTGTAGATGATTTACACGAGTTACTAGTGAAACTATGGGAGCAGGAAACTGTCCCAACCGATTGGAGCCGCTCCGTCATAGTCCCAATTTTCAAGGAAGGCTCACGATCGGAATGCGGCAGCCATAGAGGAATCAGTCTGATCTCCATCACCTCCAAATTGCTTGCCTCTATCATCCTTCACAGACTGACTGGCACTCGTGAAAGCCAGATTCGTGAAGAGCAAGCTGGATTTCGTCGGGGTAGTGGCTGCATTGACCACATCTTCACCTTGCGTTAGTTGTTGGTGCACCGTCACATATATTGCCGGCTCACCATCGTCGTGTTCCTGGATATCAAAGGTGCATTCGATTCGGTGGATAGACATGCACTTTGGGACTGTCTACTCAGGAAAGATGTACCTGTGAAATATGTGAATATTATCCGAGCATTATATGCGCTTAGCTCGGGCAGAGTGAGGGCTTACGGCAAGTTGTCGTCGCCCTTTAATATCTCCAGCGGCGTGAGACAAGGATGCCCACTATCACCTTTCCTCTTCAACTTTGCTGTTGACGAAGTCATGGAAACCGCGTTTACAGGACATGACTTGGAAGGTGTGGAGCTACTCCCAGGAGAACGACTTCTTGCTTTAGAGTATGCTGATGATATTGCCCTCATCGGTGACAGCTCGCTAACGTGCCAAGCGGCACTGGGCAGATTAGCACTAGCTGTCCGTCACTTCGGGCGTTGCTTTGCACCCTCGAAGTGCAAAGCGTTTCTCCAAGATTGGTCTGGACCTCATCCTCAAACACAACAGAAGCGGTCAGCAGAACATGGAAAACTATCGCCTCATCAGCTACACGCCTATAGCTTCAAGAATAATGGAACGAATAGTCAAAGAAACCATGCTCACCTTCTTGCTTACTCGCAACCTCATCAATCGACAACAACAAGGATTTCTGCCGTCCAAATCCTGTCAGACCTGCCAATTTGCGTTCATGTAACTCAACTGATTGACAACAAGCAAGCACTAGCCATCATCATCCTAGACATGACGAAAGCTTTTGACAGAGTACCACATACAGAACTCTTGATGAAGCTGGAATCATACGGTATCTCCGGCAAACTGCACACCTGGTTCTCATCATATCTTGCAGCTCGCTCACAGTCAGTAATGGTTGGAGAATTTATATCACTCCCTAAACCAGTCAAAAGTGGCGTAATTCAAGGTAGCGTTTTAGGCCCTCTACTTTTTCTGCTCTATATCATGACGTGTTCCAGGTTTTCAAACATGGGACACCCTACCTATTTGCGGACGACATCAAATTTGTCTTCCCATTTCATCCGTCAAACTTCCACACCGCCATTTCCCATATACAATACGACTTAAGATCGCTAACTGCATGGTGCGACATATGGAAGTTGGCTTTTACACCATCAAAATGCAATGTCCTTACGTACCGATGCACCATGCCTCCAAATACCTTAATGCTGCAAGGCGCGCCATTAAGGAAAATGCCTAACAGTGCGTGACTTGGGCGCGCACTACTCCTGTTCGCTGAACTTCGCGGAACAAGTAATTTATTCCGCAGCTAAAGCACGCTCTCTCATCGGTTACATCCTCAAAACCATGACAATACAGGAATCTAGAACTGTGCTCCACAAAACATGTGCCCGGCCCCTGCTAGAATACTGCTCTATAGTATTCACCAACCTTAGAAAATGCGACCGAATAGCCCTCGAAAAGGTTCAGCGTACCTTCACAAAACGCCTCCTGGGACACTCAAGTCTCAGCTACCGTGATCGGTGCCACACACTTAAGCTCGACCCGTTATGGCTGCGCCGATTGAAAACCAACCTCGCTTTTCTATACTCGCTCATCAACAAATCCAATGGGAGCCCACTAACCCCTGTCTCAGACTCATATATCACTTCGTACCCCCTACGTGATAGACCCTACTCCATTACCCTACCAAAAACGCGCAGCAGCATTCGCTCCAACTTCTACCTCTACAGATACGCACACGTATGGAATAGGTTACCTCTCACAATAAGGGTATCCATGAACATAAACCCGTTCCGCTTCTCTATTAGCAAATACCTCTCTGTCACACAAGTTTCCAAACTACTGAATATAAACTGTCCCGAAGAAGAGTTTTTTGAAACTGGACCGGACCTCTTATACTCGCCTCTTATTACCTTCGGCACTGTTATCTTCCCGACTCCACATATCTCTCCTACCGCACCGTTATCCATCGTGCATCTTACTCGCGTCACCTCCTCTTGACAGCAGCTAGTCATTGTTGGCTCCATGTAGCTTGCAAGTAGCCAATTCCTGACTCTCCAGCCTTCATTTTTTTCTGCCGTATGTCTCTCTAAGCTTCGCTCGCATGTTGACTTCTTCGTCGAAACTACAGATATCCAATAGTGGTCAAAGGTCTTAATGATATGGCTACACCAGCCACTGATTAATTCTTTTCTAGAGCCACTAGCTTCGCTTAGCAGCAGCTAGTCGCCATAGCTTCCATTTAACTCTGCGGATACCCGGAGCTCTGTAGGAGTCGCACCTTTCTTACAATGTTCATTCTCTTGGATTGCTTGCGTCACAGCTCAGATGATTTGTTGACCTATTATGTGCCACCATAGGATCCACTAGTAACTGAAGGCTTAGCCCAAACCCTATTGCTGGTCACTCTTCTCTCTTTTGCCATCTGTCTCTCTTAAGCTTCGCCCGCATGTTGATTTCTCCATCGAATCTGTAGGTATCCAATAGTGGACAAACGTCTTAATACTATGGCTGCACCAGCCACTGATTCATTCTTTTCTAGAGCCACTATCTTTGATTAACGGCAGCTAGTCGCCATAGCCCCCGTTTAACTTTGCGGATATCCGGAGCTCGCTCCCTTCTTACAATGTTCATTCACTTGGATTGTTTGCTTCACAGCTCAATGGTTTGTTGACCTATTATTTACCACCGTAGGATCCACTAGTAACTGAAGGCTTAATCCGAACTCCAATGCTGGCCTTTCATCTCTCTCCTAGCCAGCCATTATCCATCGTTCATCTTACTCGCCTCAACTTTTCTTGGCAACAGCTAGACATTGTTGGCTCCATGTAGCCTACAAAGAGCCCCTTCTTGACTCTCAAGCCTTCATTTTCTTCTGCCGTCTGTCTCTCTTAAACCCCGCTTGCCTGTTGATTTCTTCATCGAAACTGTAGGTATCCAATAGTGAACAAACGCCTTAATACTATGGCTACAACTGCCTCTGATTCATTCTTTTCTAAGCCACTATCTCTGCTTAGCAGCAACTGGTCGCTGTAGCTTCCATTTAACTCTGCGGATATCCGAAACTCTGTAAGAGTCGCTCCTTTCTTACAATGTTCATCCTCATGGATTGCTTGCGTCACAGCTCAGATGTTTTGTTGACCTATATGTGCCACCGTAGGATCCACTAGTAACTGAAGGCTTAGTCAAAACTCTATTGCTGGTCATCCTTCTCTCTCCCAGCGCGCCGTTATGCGTTGTTCGTCCTACTCGCGTCAACTCCTATTGACAGCAGCTAGTCATTGTTGACTCCATGTAGCTTACAAGTAGCCACTCCCTGACTCTCCAACCTTCATTCTCTTCTGCCGTCTGTCTATCTAAAGCTTTGCTCGCATGTTGATCTCTTCATCGAAACTGTTCGTATCCAGTATTGGGAAACGTCTTAATGCTATGGCTACACCAGCCACTGATTCATCCTTTTCTAAAGCGACCATCTCTGCTTAGCAGCGGCTAGTTGCCACAGCTTCAACTTAACTTTCCGGATATCCGGCGCTCTGTAGGATTCGCTCCTCTCCTGCTATATTCATTCTCTTGGAATCCTTGCGTCACAGCTCAGCCGGTTTGTTGATCTATTAAGAGCCACAGTAGGATCCACTAGTAACTGAAGGCTTAGCCCAAGCTCTATTGCTGGTCACCCTTCTCCCTACTAGCGCGCCGTTAGATGTCGCTCGTCCCACTCGCATCAACTCCTCTTGACAGCCGCTAGTCATTGTTGGCTCCATGTAGCTTACAAGTAGCCACTCCCTGACTCTCCAACCCTCATTTTCTTTTACCGTCTGTCTCTCGCAAGCTTCGCTTGCATGTTGATTTATTCATTGAAACTGTAGGTATCCAATAGTGGACAAACGTGTTAATACTTTGGCTACACCAGCCACTGATTTATTCTTTTCTAGAGCCACTATCTCTGCTTAGCAGCAGCTAGTCGCCATAGCTTCCATTTAACTCTGCGGATATCCGGAGCTTTGTAGGAGTAGCTCCATTCTTACAATGTTCATTGCCTTAGAATGTTTGCGTCACAGCTCAGATGTTTTGTTGACCTATTATGTGCCACCGTAGGATTTACTAGTTACTGAAGGCTTAGCCCAAACTCTATTGCTGGTCACTCTTCTCTCTCCTAGCGCGCCGTTATGTGTCGTTCGTCCCACTCGCAGCAACTCCTCTTGACAGCAGCTAGTCATTGTTGGCTCCATGTAGCTTACAAGTAGCCACTCCCTGACTCTCCAAACCTCATTTTCTTTTGCCGTATGTCTCTCTTAAGCTTCGCTCGTATGTTGCTTTCTCCATCAAATCTGTAGGTATCCAATAGTTTCCAAAAAACGTCTTAATACTATGGCTGCACCAGCCACTGATTCATTCTTTTCTAGAGCCACTATCTCTGCTTAGCAGCAGCTAGTCACCATAGCCTTCATTTAAATCTGCGGATATCCGGAGCTCTGTAGGAGTCGCTGCATTCTTACAATATTCATTCTCTTGGATTGTTTGCATTACAGCTCAGATGGTTTGTTGACTTGTTATGTGCCACCGTAGGATCCACTAGTAACTGAAGGCTTAGTCTACACTCTATTGCTGGTCACTCCTCTTTCCTAGCGCGCCGATATTTGTCGTTCGTCCTACTCGCGTCAACTCCACTTGACAACAGCTAGTCATTGATGGCGCCATGTAGATTACAAAGAGCCACCCACTGACTCTCCAACCTTCGTTCTCTTTTGCCGTCTGTTTCTTAAAGCTTCGCTCGCATGTCGATTTCTTCGTCCAAACTGTAGGTATCCAGTATTGGTCAAGCGTCTTAATGACATGGCTACAGCAGCCACTGATTCATTCTTTTCTAAGCCACTATCTCTGCTTAGCAACAACTAGTCGCCATAGCTTCCATTTAACTCTGCGGATATCCGGAGATCTGTAGGAGTAGCTCCATTCTTACAATGTTCATCCTCTTGGATTGCTTGCGTCACAGCTCAGATGGTTTTGTGACCTAT